CAAAAAAGAAAAGAGTTGCAGCTTAGCCCAAGCAATTTTGTGAGACCCTTGTCAAAATAAAAAATAATAAAAAATAAAAGGGTGCAGCTATAGCTCAGTACTGTCCCATTACGGGAAAAATATTTAACTGAAAATCTTAGGAATACTTGCTTTATCTGTTTCTTTAGTAAAAGGTGAAAGATTTATATGCACGCAGAAAGATCTGAAGAGAAAGCAGAGTATGTTATCTTTTTCTAGTTGGGCAGCTTTTCATTTTGCTAACGTAGAATTGCAAGTCTAATAGGCTTGCTTTGATAGAAGGGGGAACCCTTTCCACGAAGACACTTAACTCTTTTTATAACTTGGGAAAACAAAAATAAAACATAGTCTTCATGCACAGTTGTGCTTTCATAACTTTTTTAGTCTTTTTTTAAATGAATTTAGGACAGGGTCTACAGGGTGTACAGGGTCTCACTATATAGATTGGACGGTAGTGATCCTCCTGCTTTCAGCCTCCCAAGTGCTGGGATTACAGGTGGGCGCCACCACGCCCAGTCTCAGTCACCGTCTCAGCACACCCTGGTAAGCCAGGGAGTGAACCCTAGCCGCTCCACTCTGCCTAAGCGTGTACCGTAGTCTGCTGAGCTATCCGAACGGCCCTCATAATTTTTCTTCAGCACCTTGATTCTTTAATTTTTCTCTGCAATTTTCAATTCTAATATGTCCTTGTGTATACTTATAGATACCCACACCCCCAGGTGGCCGCCCCCCAAGGGGAGTAGCTGCCATTCTTGGAGACCTGAAGAGGCCATGGCCATGATCCCTGCAGCCATGGATCACGCAGCCCCTTTCGAGACTGGGAGAGGGTTGAGGATATAGGGATGAGAGCTCAGGCCTCATTGGGGGAGCCGGGACCCAGCCCTTGGGCTTAGGGCTGATTTGGGAGCCCTGTTACCCTCAGGTATCCTCAGCGAGTGCCCCATGGGCCTGGGGGACCTCAGCCAGCATGTGACAGGGCTCCTCATATTCCAAGCGCGCCTGACACTGAGCCCAAGCGCCCAGGGGTGCTGCTGTCTGGTCTCCTGAAGACAGAGTAGTGGGACGCCGTGGGCAGCAAGCTGTGGCCCTTCTCTGGGCAGGCCTCAGTGGAGCTCAGAGCAGGCATCCCCACTGGGGCCGGAGGATGAGCAGCACTTTCCCAGGGGAGGATGGAGGGAAGGGGCAGGCAATACGGGCCGCCACAGGGTACTGGTGGTGCGACCTCTCCTCAACCCCTGGGTGTGGTTCCCTGGTTTCTTCCTTGTAAATATCCCCATCATGGTTGATTTCAAGGGCCCAATGTAAAGTCACTGAGTGTTAGGGTTTATAGCTGGATGTCCCCCAAGGCTCACGTGCTCACATGTGGGGCTTTGGGGCGGTGGCTGGGTCATGGGTGCGATGTGGGGAGGTGGGAGGTGAAGCCCCCCCGACAGCGTGTCCCGGAAGGGTCATCTCCTTCCTCTTCCCTTCACCCTTCTCTGCTTGCGGCCTGCCAAACCCCTCCTGCCACGCCTCTGCGCCAGCTGAGTAAGGACTGAAGCCCGCAAACTGTGAGCCAAAACTCAGCCTTTCCGCCCTCAGCTTGTGGGGGCCGGACACTCCATCCCAGCAATGAGAAAGTAGCCAAGACACGGACTGTGGAGTGAGCAAGAGGCCTGCTCACTAGCACGGTGGTGGCGCCTTCTAGGGCCCGTGCAGGCTCCCACAGCTGAAGGTAAAGCCAAACACAGCTCAGCAATCAAGACAAGGAGTGCTTTAGTGCAATATTTTTTCAGCATAATATTAAAAGAAAACTTAATCACAAAAGTCTACAGTGGATGAGATGTCAAAAAAAAAAAAAGTCTTTTAAACACAAGGTCAAGAAGATAAAATAAAATAAACACAGGGTCTATGGACTGGCCAAATAGCTCAGGGGATTAAAGTGCCTGCAAGCAGGCATAGGGGCCAGGGGTTCAATCCCCGGGCCTGCTGTGCTGGCCCCACCCTGGGGCGCCCTGAGACATTGAGACTGGGCATGGTGGTGCGCACTTGTAATCCCACCTGTTGGGAGGCTGTAAACAGGTGGATCACTAGGAGTCCAACCTAGTGGATCACCATGAGTCCAATCTAGTAGTGAGACCCCGAACACCCTATAGACCCTTCCCTAAAATACAAAAAAATCCAAAGCAAAGAAACAAAGAGAAAAACACAGGATCTAACCTGACGCTCTCATGACTCCTGTACTGTAATTCTGGCCCCAGTTCTAGTAAAACTTTATCCACACAAATAACTGGTGAGTGGCTGTGATTGGCTGATTTTTTTTTTTTTTCCGGAACTGGGGATTGAACTCAGGCCCTCGTGCTTGCAAGGGAAACGCTTATTCTACTGAGCCATCTCCCCAGCCCCTAATTGGCTGATTTTTGAACAAACATTTTGATAAACTCATACATACCTAATTTGTGGTGTTGGAGATAGAAACCAGCACCTTAAGGGCGCCTGGCAATTCCTCTGCCACTGAGCTACACCAGAGCCCTAAAACATGTCTTCCATATGGCCAGAGTAGCTGTACATAACCTCAAGTGGATTAATAGTAGCAAAATAAGTAAAATAGGAAGTGAAGAGTTTTGAATATTTTACCTGTATTTTAATCTATTTCATTGTATAGGTAATGTATTTAATTGTATGTTTAATTATAGGGCTTTCCCTCCGACGTTGGGGATCGAACCCACGGCTTCACATTGGGTGCCACGTTGCTACTGTCCTGCCTTAGCAGAAGCAGCTGGGATTGCAGGTGTACAGCACTGTGTCCAACAAAAATTCATTTTTAAATAATGATGGTGCATAGCAACCCGCTTACAAAATTCCTGAAAATACAGCAGCCAGGAAGAACAAGCCAGTGTGTCCCAGGAGGCTAACGGCTGCGACCGGAAAGGGGACGCAGAGGTCTGCAGGCTGGGCTACCTCACTTTAATTTGGATTCCTCAAGGTTCCGTTCTGTTTCGCCTTAATTTAATTTTGTTTTCTTTTTTTCTAAATCGAGACAGGGTCTCGCTTTTTAGCCCAGGCTGGCGTCGATCTCAGTTAATCGTCCATTCTCACCTTCCAGTCTCCGCCCATCCAGCCTCCTTGGGCCCCGCCCCACGGTCGTCCTGGCGACCGCGTCCCCACGCCCTCCCCTCCCGCCCACCTGCAGGCCTTCTTCAGTGCTCCTATTGGCCAAAAGTTCGTAGGGGGCGGCTCTACTTCACATTCGTTGGTCAGTTGAGCTGGGCCGGGCAAGATTGCGCGTTCCCATTGGCTGATTGTTCCAGGAGTGTTTGGGCAGCGGTTGAGCTGGCCTTGGGGCGCAGGACCACAACACAGCCTTGAGTAGCGAGACCACGACGGCCATCCCAGGTGTTTGGAGGATAAAGGTGACGAGGGTCCCGTGGGAGAGAGGGCAGGAGGAGAAGAAGGGTGAGCGACGATGGGATGCCCAAGTGTGGGGCTCGCGGGCTGTCTGTCCCGTAGGGCGATGACCACCCCGGCGGGCTCGGGCACGGGCTTCGGCTTGGTGTCCTGGTGGGGCCTGTCACCAGCGCTGGACCTGCAGGCGGAGAGTAAGTCTCCGGGTGGCCTCACCCCCGCCCCAGCCTGGCCGGGCGGCAGCTCTGCAGGGGGCGGAGGCAGGGGCGCTGCGGAGGCACAGTCCGAGCCCGCGGGGTGTCGCCAGGCCCTGCAGTGCACGCGGACGCCGACGCCGCGCAAGCCGACTCGGAGCTCGAGCTCGACGTGCTGCTGCTGGGCTCTGTGGACGGACGCCACCTGCTGCGCACCCTGGCCCGGGCAGGGCGCTGGCCGCGCAGGAGGCTCAACGTGAGTGGGACGGGGCGCGGGGAGGACCCGGCCGCCGGACCCTTGTTGGGGACAGAGGGGGCACGGGAGGCACAGGCTGGACCACCGTGTCAGAAGAGGTCCGGGGAAGGAAGGAGCAGGGGTCTGGCCCAAGTCTTAGAGCCCCAGTGGCATGGAGAGAGGAAGGCTCTGAGTAGGGCTCCGGGCGTCCCAGGGTCTACGCGGAGAAGGGATCGGTGCACGGGACTTGGCAGGGAAGGGCCGGGGTGCCAGTTTCAGGTGCCCTTCACCCCATCCTTCCAGTTCTATATGCTGGAGCAAAACCTGGAGGCTGTCGCCCGACACATGCTTCTCTTCAGCCTTGTCCTGGAGGACCCTGAGAAGATGGGGCTGCAAGGTCAGCGGGTGCAGGCCAGGCACTCTGACTCCATCTCAGCCTCCCCTACGGACTCGTGGTCTTTCAGTGGTGACATTAAAAAGTTTGATTGCCCGACATGGTGACACACCCCTGCAGTCCTAGCATTTGTAAGACTAAGGCAGACGGATCGCCAAGAGTTCGAGGCCAGTCTAGGCTCCGTAGTGGGTTCAAGGCCTGCATAAAAGCACATTATGAGACCCTGTCTCAAAAATCAAAAACAAAAGAAACTGATCATTTCCCTGTTTCTTTTTCTTTTTCTTTTTTTTTTTTTGCTCCGAATGCCTTCAGGGCAGGTTTGGCTGGCTTGAGTCGTGGGGATCAAACCACAGCAAGCTGAGTCTGACTGCCTTGTTGAAGCAGCCACTTAAAGAACTGAGCTAAGGGGCAGGCCCCTCCCCATTTCCCTGTTTCTTGTTCTGTTTCTTCCCCCCTTCCATCCTTCCTTTCCTCCCCTCTCCATACTGGAGTTTGAACCCAGGGCTTTCACACTGAGCTACATCCCCACCCCCTATTCACTCATTCATTTTGAGTCAGGGTCTCGCCATGTAGTTCAGGCTGGTCTTGAACTCACTATGTAGCTCAGGCTGGCCTCAGATTCATAGAAATCCTCCTGTTTCAGCCTCCCAAATGCTGAGATTACAAGCGTGCACCACCATGCCTGGCTTTATGCTTTATTTTGAGGCACGGTCTCACTGAGTCTCTGGGTTTCCCAGGCTAGGCTCCGACTTGCCGTCCTCCTATCTCAGCCTCCCCGTGTGCTGGTCCACAGGCATGCAGCACTGTGCCTGGCTCCCCTATTTCATCTTGAGCTTCAGGTTTTCTACCTGCACTCGGAAGCCCAGTGTTATCCCTCCTACAGCCATAGGTAATTCTAGGAGAAAACCCACAGGACTTCTCAGAACAGCACAGGACACCAGGTGGACACCATGATGTTCCTGCGGAAGGGCTGGCGCGGGGCTCAGCAGGCTCCTGAGAGCTGTCATGTCCTCCCCCCCACGTGCGGGCGCAGCGAGTGTCCCACAGGAGCGGCGGGCAGCTTCAGCGTGTGCTGGACCAAGGCTCAACCCGCCCTGGCTGCAGCGATGTCCGCTCTGCTCTGCTCTGCTGGCTGTGTGGCCTCGGGCAGGAACCTATTTCACTTTCTGGGCCTCATTTCCACACTTAGGAAAGTTCTCCCACAGGGAGTGGTGGTCCAGCCTCTGATCCCAGTCCTCTAGGAGGCAGAGGTCCAGACCGAGGCAGGAGGATCACAACTTCCAGCCCAGCCTGGGCAATTTGGCAAGGCACTATCTCAAAATAAAATATCTTATTTACTTATTTATTTATATATTTATTGTTTTGCTGGCTCAGCTCACCCTGAGTGTGGGGCTGGCTCAGTGTATGGTGCCAGGGATCAAACTGTGGTCCTGTGGCTGCGTAAGCAGGCGCTTTAGACTGCCGAGCTATCTCACTGGCCCATTTAAAAAATATTTATTAGGGGCCAGGGAGATGGCTCAGTGGAATAAGCACTTCCCTGGCAAGCGCAAGAGCCTGAGTTCAATCCCTGGTTCCGCAAAAAAAAAAAAAAAAAAAATTATTTATTTATATTTTCATGTATTTAGCACAGGGTCTACAGGGTCTCACTACACAGATCTGACTCATAGTGATCCTCCTGTTTACAGTCTCCCAAGCACTGGGATTACAGGCATGCACCACCACACTCAGTTTCAATTAAAATACATTCTTTTAAAAAGGGGCTGGCAGTGTAGCTCAGTATGAGGGCCATGGGCTTAATCCTCTGACTGGTAAGAAAATAGGAAGTTCTTCCACTACTAGAAGCCCCCTGAGGATTCGTGGCCAGCGGGTATGATGTCAGCCCCACGCACCTGAGCAGTGTTTGTGTTCTATCATGAGGACCGCTGGTTGTTGCCCAGGGCACTCACAGTGTACTGCATAATACACCTCGTTTATGGTTTTTAGACTGAGCTTAGCTGTTTAAGATGTGGTTGTCCTCTATAGCTGAAATCTGTATGCATGTATCATCTGTGTCTGTCTCAGTATACATGCACGCTTGTCAGTGTATGTACACACGTGTGATCCGCAAGCAAAGGTGGAGGAGTGTGGCGGGCCATGCCTGTCCTCTTGTCATTCCGGAAGGCTGAGGCAGGAGGATGGCAAGTTTGAACTCTGCCCGAGCAACTTAGCAAAACCTTGTCCCAAAGTATATAGATAAAAATAAGAGCTGAGAATGTTGCTCATTACCAAGACCCTGGCTCCACTCTCCAGTACTTCAAAGACAAAAGCAAAACCAAAATCGAGCACTTGGATACTATAACACTTAGAAAGGTACATCTCTCTACCTGTATGTTCAGACCCTCTTTGCCGCTTAAGACGGGAGGAGGGCCGGGATGGAGCTCAGCGGTACAGGCCTGCAGTGCAGGCGCGGGGCCCTGAATTGGATTTCTGGTACCCCACCTTCCAGTCAGTAAAGAAGGGAAGTTTTAAGCAAGCCGCTCAGGGGGGTCTTCCTGCGCAGTCTGTGCCTGATCCCGGGGTTCCCCGCTTCAGCCCTGCCCTCTTGTCCCCCAGAGCGGAGCGAGACCTTCCTGGAGGTATGGGGGAACGCGCAGCTGCGGGCCCCGGTGGCCGCCTTCGTGCGCGCGCAGGCCGTCCGTCTGGCGCTCCTGGTCCCCGAGCCCGCTCGCCTGGAGCGGGAGTTGCCGTGGCTCCGCCTCTGCGCGCTCAAGGTGCCGTCTGTGCCCGTCCCGTGGGGTCCTGGCCTGGGCAGTGGGTGGGCGGTGGGTGGGTGGGTGGTGAACTGACAGTTTGGCTGATAACCGAGCTGGGGTTCCCGACGTTGGGTGGAGCCTTCGGTTCTCGGAGCCTCAGTTTCTCCCCTGGGGCAGGGACGCGAGGCAGGCAGAGCGGGGGCGCCTGTGCATTCCTGCCTCCGCTGTCCCGCGCGCGTGGCTGTAGTTCCGCGAACGCGACGCGCTGGAGGCCGTGTTCCGCTTCTGGTCCGGCGGGGAGCAGGGCCCAGAGGCCTTTCCGGTGGGCCGCCTGTGGGACGCACGCGTGCGACACTACCTGGGCTCCCGCTATGACGCCCGGCGCGGGGTCAGCGACTGGGACCTGCGCATGAAGTTGCACGACCGCGGGGTGAGGGTCGGGGGGGCCTGGGCCCCCGAGTCTGAGAATGGAGGGCCAGGGACCCCTTTCTCAGGTCTCCTAGACCTGTCTTCCTCCCTCGGGCTACCCTAGGCCCGGGTCATCCACACCCAGGAATTTCGCCGCTGGAGGGACACAGGGGTCGCCTTTGAACTCAGAGACTCCAGTGCCTACCACGCGCCCAACCGGACCCTGGCGTCCGGCCGGCTCCTGACCCACGTGGGTGCTACTCCCTGGCCCGCCCTCCACTCTGTTTTGAGAATCTGGAAGTCGTGGTCCACACCAACTTTTCCCTCCACCTCTCTCCTGTTTTCCCAGCACGGGGAGCGCGTGGCGACGCGCGGGTACTGGGGGGACATCGCCACGGGGCCCTTCGTGGCCTTTGGCATTGAGGCCGACGACCAGAGCCTCCTGCAGACGAGGAACGGGCAGCCAGTCAAGGTGTGTGGCCCCGGGTGTAGGCGCTGGTGTCAGAGCCCGGGCCCGGCCCGGATGACCAGCCCCGCCCCGCAGGCTAAGCCCCGCCCACCGAGACCCCAGCCTCCATCTCCCCACCCCTACCCCAGCCCCTCCCCTGCTCCGCCCCCACCGCTTTGTCAGCCCGGCGCGCTCGCTCCTGCGCAGACTGCAGGGGAGATCACGCAGCACAACGTGACCGAGGTGCTCCGCGAGCTGGCCGCCTGGGGGCGCCCGAGAGCAGCGCAGGGGGACCCGGAGAAGGAGCTCGAGGGCTCCCCAGAGCAGAGGCTGTCAGGTGTGCACTCGGGTAAGCAGGAACTCTGCTAAGCCCGGCTTCAGGCTCTAGGTAGTTCGAATCCCAGCATGGACGCCGAGGTTTGCAATGCCTGGGCAGGGCCGGCGCCTTCATATTCTGCTTCTTCACCTCTCCCAGCCCTAAATCTTGACCCCATCCTTGGGATTCTGTAAAGTCCTGTCGCCCACCCCCCCGGAGCTGGGCAGGAAATCCAGGCCCCCGCACGGAGCCTCATTCCCAGGCTCGCTTAGTTCTTATTATGAGGCAGGGTCTCGCCAACCACCAGGTTGCCCAGGCTGCAGTCACTTGGCTGGCCAGAAATTCCTTGCGTGGGGAGCTGCCCAGCTAGCTGCTCCTTGGACACTGTGCCCACCCACACTTTGGCTGTATCTTCTGACCCTCTCCTCCCCTGTCGCTCCCAGCCGTCTGTCCCCTCTCTAGGGTCCGCCCTTGGGGCCCTGGGCGGTCCGGGAGGGCCTCCCTGCATCCCCACTCACTCCTCGGGGTTTCTGCTGGCTGCCCCGTGCAGAGGTGACGTTTGGTCGCCCTCCCCAGGAGACCCGGCCCGAGCACCCTTCACGCTCCACTTTCTGCCCCTCGGATCCGCGCACGCGCTGCACCACAAAGGCTGCTACCAGGGCCGCTTCCAGCTCCTCTACGTGGCCTGCGGGTGAGGGCGTGGCCGTGCCCGGCGGAACCCGGCTTGGGTCGGCTCGCACGCCCCTGCTGCCGCTGACCGCCCGCTCTCCGCAGCATGGTGCACCTGCTCGGCCCCGAGCTCGCGGCCTGCGTGGCCCCCGGAGGGAACCTGGTGGTGGAGTCCGCCCGGTGAGCCCGCGTGGCGCGGGGTGGGGGTTCCGTGCGCGCAGACGCGGGTCTCACCGCCCCTCCGCCCAGGTTCCTGGTGGACCTGCGCTCCGAGCAGCTGCAGGCCTTCTCTGCTCGCATCGGGGAGCTGGCGGGAGCGGCCGGCTTCACCCCACGCGCCGCGGCTGGGCCCTCGGAGACCTTCGCACGCTTCACCAAGCCGACTTCCGCGGGACCCAGAAACCTGCCTCAGATCCCCTCCCTCGGCGCCCCCAGTCCTGTAGCCCCTTCTGCAAGACCTGACCAAGCCCAGGGCGAGCCCGCCTCCCACGCCAAAGTGGGAGCCGACCCCGAGCCCCAGAGCCTCTCCCTTAGTGCTCACAGTCTCTGTTGCGACACCCCTGTCCCCATTGCTGCAGCCCCTTCCCTAGGATCTGACCACACCCACAGAGATCCCTCCTCCTACGCCAGAGTGGAAGCCAGCCCCGAGCCCCAGAGCCTTTCTCTGACCTCTGACGGGGGCTCTCGAGATCAGGAGCCCCCCGGGAGACACTGACCCGCTGGCGGCGCCTCGCGGTTCCCACGCAGCATTGCGCTCAGCCCCCAGTGTTGCAGAGCTGGGCCTTCGGGTTCCCACCTGGGGTTCTGTGTGCCATTCCCAGCGTCCTACAGCTCGGCGCCCCAGACTCATCCCAGAGCCACCGATGGGTCGAGGCCCCAGCCTCCAGTCCCACCCCACCTCCTGCCCTCAGTCCCAGCTGTGACTGGAGGGGTGCCCAAGCAGCTCAGTAAAGAGTCCTGTGTCCTCCTTTTTGTTCGAGTCGTGTGCCCTCGTGTCTTCTACCCTCTCTGGGCTTCAGCCCTGGGGATGGAGAGCCCAGGAGGGCGGAAACAGACTTCTAGGTTTGCAAACAGGCTCTGGGTGGCTGTCCTGATACTGTGATTCAAGAACAGGAGGCCTAACCTGAGGCGTGAGTTTAACACACAATCAATAGCCCAGTGTGATGGCCAGAGGCTGAGACAGGAGGATCGGTGCAAGTTTGAGGCTACAAAGTGAACTCAAGGCCAGCCTGAGTTGCACAGAGAGACCCTGTCTCAAAAAGACATAAATAAATAAATAAATAAATAAATAAAAATTTAAAAAGCTAAATAATAGGCGAGGCATGGTGGTGCAGCTTATAATCCCAGCACTCAGGAGGCTGGAGAATAGTTGTGATTTCAAGTGTAGCCAGGATTACAAAGTGAGCTCAAGGCCAGCTTGAACTACATGGTGAGACCCTGACTGAAAAATAAATAGCTAATAAGAAAATAAAAAGCTAAATAAAATATAAATAAATATGGATCTACCAGCTTACGTATTTGGGTACCAAAACTACCCCAAAACAGTGAATAAGAGAAAGTACTAACCCTCATGAAGAATTAAAACTAGCAAAGGAGTAGGAGGGTCCAAGGAAAAAGACCAGGCAAGCCTGGACTGGGGTCTGGGTGGGGAGGCGGGGTTGGGATCCCGGGGTCTGAGGGAGGGGCCCCTAGGTGCCTGGCCTGTTTCCAAGTCTGAAGGCAGAGAGGCCTCGCACTCCAGGCCAGAGGGAGAAAGGGTCCATCCGGATCCCGGAATGCCAAGGTGACCCGGTGATCCCAGGAGTGCAGCCGCCCCGCCCCTCAAGCGCCCTTATCTCTGTCCTGGTCCTGGAGGAGGGGACAGCAGTATATTTAGTCCCTGTCCTTGCCCTTTATCTCAGTGTCCTAGTGAGGCCAGAGCGGCACAGTGGAAACCAAAGAGCCCGAGAACTCCAAGGTCACCGCTGCGCCCCTCACCGGCCCCCGGGAGCCCCTGTTTGCTGTCTCCTACATCTCAGCCCAAGTCTCCTATGGCCGACGAGTGAGTGCCTCTTGGTGACCCTGCTTCCTGGAGGCCCAGGGGGGTGTTGGTAGTGGTGATCTCCAGGGTTCTCAAGAGGGTGGGAGCCGTGAGGCCGGACGCCTGAAGATGGAGGTAGTGTAGGGATCCTGGGTGCAGACGAGGTAAACTTATGGGAATCAAACAGGACTTGGGAAGCTGAGGCAGGAGGATCATCTTTTACTTTGAGCCCAGCCTGGGCAACTTGACTTAGGGAGACCCTGTCTCAAAATAAAATATGAAGAATGTGGGATCAGACTCCTGATACCTTAGCAGGGGAGCTGGTGACCTAACCCCTAATCCCTCAGGGGACAGATAGGACACAGGCCCCCCAGCAATGCTCTCTCCCGGGTTTCTCTCCCTGCAGGAGCAGCGATGCGGTGAGACTGCGCAGAGGCCAGGCTGGGACCCCAGGGCCTGGGTGCACGACAGGGGAGGGTGGGACGGAGGCTGCATCCCTAAAGAAGCCACTGGGGAGAACAGGGGCTCGGTGGTTACGCAGTCGCTCCTTCTCCCCAGGCGGGGGAGCCACGCCCTGCGCCGGCCCCAGTGCGAAGGCGCTCTTCTGCCAACTACCGCGCCTATGCCACGGAGCCACACGCCAAGGTCCGGAGGCGGAGGGCGGGGCCCGGCCGAGGCTTAGGTGCCGGGGCGGGGCTTAAGAAAGGAGGAGGTTCTGATTGGTGAGAGCGGCCTGTAGGTGGAGCTCCGTTCTCACAGTCGCTTAGGGGGTGGTGGGCGGTGCCTAACTAGAGACAGGGCCCGAGATTAGTGGGTGGGGATGGGGGCGTGGCTTTCCCTGGACTCAGAGGCCAAGTCGAAAGTGGTCTCAGGGTTAGGAGTTCCTTGAAGTCCTTCACGCTGCTCATTTTTGGATTTCTCTCCTTGATCCTTTCTTTCTCCATGCATCCTGGTAGAAAAAGTCGAAGATCTCCGCCTCCAGAAAGTTGCAGCTGAAGGTGAGGATGAGCTGGGGGCGGAGCTTTCGGGAACAGTGCAAGGTCTGGGCGGGGCTTTGCTGGGGCGCCCCTGTGGCGTGATGGGGTCCAGCCCGAGGGTCCGGTCTCGGAGGACCCGGCTTTATTCCCGACCCCGGGGGCTCAGCACCACCCATCGTCCTGCAGACCCTGATGCTGCAGATCGCGAAGCAGGAGGTGGAGCGCGAGGCGGAGGAACGGCGAGGAGAGAAGGGGCGCGCGCTGACCACGCGGTGCCAGCCCCTGGAGCTGGCCGGGCTGGGCTTCGCCGAGCTGCAGGTACCGACACAGGCGGCCCTGCTCAGACCAGGGTCGGTGTCAGTCTGCGTCCTTGCCTCGCTCGGGTTCACGAGCACCGCCCTGTTCCCCTCTGCCCATGGTTGCCACCACAGCCCAGGCCTGGGCTCAGGTCCTCCAGGCCCAGTTGTGCCGGGACTCCTGGCTCCTGCCCACCCTTGTGTGTTCCCTGGAGTCCACGCTGCAGCCCGCGCGTTCAGACCCAGATCGTAGCGCCCCAAACCTCTCCACTCCGACACGGGGCCCGGCCCAGCCCTTCCCACCCGGCACACGTTGGGCTTCTCCACCAGGACTTATGCCGACAACTCCACAGCCGGGTGGACAAGGTGGATGAAGAGAGATACGACATAGAGGCCAAAGTTACCAAGAACGTCACGGAGGTGGGAGCCCTGGGTGCTGGGCACCCTCGCAGAGTGCCAGCCTTGGTTTGGAGCCGCAGGGCACTGTCTGAGGGGGCGGGGCAGAAGGGTGCGTTTGACCTGGGTCAGGAATAGGGTTTCCCACAGGGAGGCACACGCAGGCTGTGCAGCCCAGGTGCTGGGGCGCTGAGCCCTGGGAGAGGAGTTCTCAGGATGGAGCTGTAGCTCACAGGCTGCTGAGAGCGCGGGTGGGAGGTGCCGAGAGAGGCGGGGCTCCTCAGGGGCTTCAGCCGAGCTGCGGAAGGGGCGCCCGGCTAGGTATGGAGGGCAGGAGCTGGAAGAGGCCGAGGGGGAGGGGCAGTGTCATGCCCATGCGGCTGCCCTCAGATCGCAGATCTGACCCAGAAGATCTTCGACCTTCGTGGCAAGTTTAAGCGACCCACCCTGCGGAGGGTGCGCATCTCAGCGGATGCGATGATGCAGGCCCTGCTGGGAACCCGGGCCAAGGAGTCCTTGGACCTGCGGGCCCACCTCAAGCAGGTGAAGAAAGAAGACACCGAGAAGGTGAGCGTGGGACAGGGCCAGGAAAGGGGCACTCGGGAGGCTGGAGCGCAGTATGAGGCTGGGCTCTAACCTAAGGCAGCCCTCCCTTGGGGGGAGGGGCTGCGAAGGGGTCCTCAGTGAGAACTTTGGGAAATGGGAGATGACAGGGGAAGAAGTGAGACCGGGAGACAGGGCTGGAGAGACAGCTCAAAGGTACAGTGTTTTCCAGCAAGTGTGAGGCCCTGGGTTTAATTCCCAGCACCTTTATTAAAGCAGACTGGGGAAGCCAAGTGTGGCGGCACACGCCAATAATCTAGCACTTGGGAGGCTGAGGCAGGAGACTCACTATGAGTTTGAGAGACCCTGTTTCAGAAGAAAACAGAGAGAGGGAAAGGGAGAGGGAGAGAGAGAAGGAGAGGGAGAGGGAGAGCGATTCATGAAGGAATCAGGAAATGTTGTGTGGGGAGATTGCCAGGATGTTGTGGGGGTGGTGGGCCAGAGGACTGGGTCTAGGTGTCCCAACAAGCAGATTCAGTCACCCCACCCACCTCGAGAGTCCAGTTCGCAGAAAGAGAGAAACAGAGAGATAAAGACAGTCAGGAAAGAGGTTGCTTTCAGTTCGGTCATCCTGAAAAGATGATCTCGGCAGGATTTTATAGGGAAAGGGCTAAAGCGAGGCGGTGGAGTACGTATGGCGTCCCGGCAGGCTGTGGGATGCTTGCGGGTCTTATCCTGGGGATCCTGCAGCCAGGGCTGAGGAGCAGCTTTAGTTCTCCTGGGTCGGCTGCCTGTGGTGCTGGCCTTTCCTGGAGTTTGACAAGGCAGTAAGGACAAGGATGGGACCTGGGCAGGTCTCAGGGGGTCCTTCAAAGAGGAGGTGGGGACCCGAAGGAGGTGGGAAAAGAATCTTGGCTCATTAGCGTGAGGCCCAGACAGTTATCATCTACATGGTTAGAAACGAAGGGAGAATAAGAAGTAGCCACCCAGGGACTTCACACTCAGCTGCATCCCCAGCCCTATTTTTTTTTTTTTTACTTTTTTAAATATTTATTTATTTAGTATTTAGTACAGGGTCTCACTACACAGATCAGACTTGTAGCGATCCTCCTGTTTTCAGCCTCTCAGGCGCTGGGATTACAGGCGCAGCACCGCTGTGCCCAGTCCCAATCACAGTCTCAGCGCCCTCTAGGGGCAGGGCCGGCACAGCACTGGGGGTAGGGGATCGAATCCCAGTCACTGTGTCTGCCTAAGCAGGTGCTTTAATCCACTGAGCTATCTGGCTGGCCCTCCCAGCACTATTTTATTTTATTCTGAGTCAGGGTCTCAATAAGTCTGTAAGTTCCCCAGGCTCAGCTCAAATTTGTCATCCTCCTGCCTCAGCGCCCAAGTTCTGGGATTGCAGGCATGCACTGCCACACCTGGCTGCATGTTTTTCTTTTATCCTACTTCACTACTTCAGGGGAGCAAATTTCAAAGGCACCCCATTACGGGGCCTTGTGTCAGGCACAAGTACTAGATTCCTGGGCAAATGTCCATAGCAGAGCCACCCAGCTGGCTAGAGGGTGAATGGGCCAGAGCCAGGAGGAGCCCTGACCTCTGCCCTTCCTCCCCAGGAGAACCGGGAGGTGGGCGACTGGCGCAAGAACATCGACGCCCTGAGTGGCATGGAGGGCCGGAAGAAGAAGTTTGAGGGCTGAGCCTACCCTCCCCGAGGGTGCTAAGGAAATCAAAGCCCTGAGAAATAAAAGCTGCCTGTGCTAGAAGTGATTGAGTGTGCGCTCCCTGAGGCTCAGGCCTATGGGTGGGGACTCAGGGCATGGGTGGTCCCTGGTCATCTGTGCAGGTGCAACGCATTCAAGGCTGAAAAAGGGGTGGCAGAGACGGGGAAGCTGAGGCAGAGGCCAGAGAGCGAGGAAAGAACAGGCATGTAGGAAGAAGGGGAAACGGGGGGGGGGAGAGAGAGAGAGAGAGAGAGACAGACAGACAGACAGACAGACAGACAGACAGACAGACAGTACAAGGCCCGCGGAGAGCCCTGAGAGGAAGCCTGACCAGGGAGAGACCCTCCAGAAGGGCCAGGGAGCCCAGCGTGGTGTCACACGCCTGCAATCCCCACACTCAGGAGGCTGAGGCAAAAAGATCACTGTGATTTCAAGGTCAGCCTGGAGAACATAGCCAGACCTCTGAAAACAAACAAAAAGCAGAAGAGCTAAGGAGACAGACCCTGAGACACAGGGAAGCACTTGTTCCACTGAGCCATCTCCCCGTCCCCTAGAGCCAGAGACACAGAGGCAAAAGGAGGCAGAGACAGAGCAGATGATGCCCAGCAGAGGTAGGAAGGAGGCACATGCCTGACATCAGAGATGCAGAGACAAAGGAGCCTCTTGCAGGGTGCGGGAAGAGGCCAGGGCCTGCTGTCTGGGCCTTTGGGCCTAGAGTTCAAGGTCGAGGTTTATTAGGCTGGCAGGAGGAGGACACCAAAGAAAGCAGTGTCAGATGGAGGTGGGGGCTGGGAGCTTAACGGACACCCCCTCCCCTCCCCACCACACCTGCTACCCCGCTTTAGCGCCTGTTGTCACCAAGGTGGAATCTGATGGCAGACAAAGAGGTGGGGGTGGGGAAGGGGGACACAGAGGCAGATAGAAAGGGGGAGGTAGAGAAAGGGGAGGTAGGGAAAGACAGGACCCGAGGGAGGTGCCCCCCACAGAGGAGTAGCAGGGAGCTTGGGAGTCGGGAGTCAGGAGCTGGCCGGATTGGAGAAAGGCGAGATGGTGGCCAGAGGGACACAGGAAGAGGAGTCAGAGAGGTAGAAATGGGAAGTGTCCCTTGTGTCACTAAGCATTGTCCGAGGCCCCACTGTGTTTCCAGCAGGGGCCCTGGGCTCGGGAAGCTGTGTGGTACAGCAACCTTGGCAGCGCTTGAGCCTGCCCGGGCTCCAGGGTGGTACCAGCAGGGTGCAGAGAGGCTTGGGGCTTGGGCCAGGCGGCCGAGCTGGGCCGAGGAATTCCTTCCCCGACCTGTACCCTCCCCCTCCTTTTCCCCCTCCCCCTCCCCTCCTCCTCACTCTGGGGCGGGCCAAGGCCCCTATAAAATCCAGGAAGCACAGCGGCCGGCGCCAGACAGCCCTTCCCACCAGCACCACAGACCCAGGTAACAGCACCGGGGCTACTAGCAGGGTTTGTGGGTTACAGAATCTGGGTGTGCCTCAGGATTGCAGAGGTCTCAGAATCTGAGAAATTGGGGCTTGGAGTCAAAGCGTCTGCATACTGGGATTTGGGGGTTCAGACTCTGGGCCTGTCAGAACTAGGGCTCAGAACATGGGGTTTTGACGTCTGAGCTCGAGCTCGGGTATTGGGTTTATTGAGTTTTCCTAATGCGAGGTTTTACAGTTTAGGCGGTCTAAGACCTGGACCTTGAGGCTATCGGGGCCCCTGCCTGGACTATCACTGGGTGGGGCTCGGAATCGAGATGTGGGGCCATCATCAATGGCCACAGCCTTGCTTCCTGGGCTTTGGGATTTACTTAACCAGGACACCGTTGGGGTCGCAGAGGTCGAGGTCTAGATACTGAGGGATCAGGCTGCTGTCTGTGGACAGAAGTTGCTCTCAGGGGCGCTCACCTGTCCATAGGCGGGGGTGAAGGTGAGAAGGGGAGCCGCGGGAGGAAAAGCGCCCGTGGGGACGGCAATGGAGGCTGGGTAGGGGCCCGTGCGACTACAGTTTGAGGACACCCCCTTCCGTCCCTTGTTAGGAAATGTCCTCTGTTCCGCGTCTATGACATCGCCCCAAAATAGCACTGGGGTGGGGTAGCTATTGTCTTCAGGCCACTGTCCCCGCCAGGCCCTAATCCCAGGATCAGGTTTCCACAGACCTGTCATGGACAAAGCTGGACAGCTGTGTGTGTGTAGGGGGGGCGCGGGCGGTCCTGGGCTGGGCTGGGGCCACGGCTCACGGAAGAGTGTGACTTCGGGTTCAGTGACCCGAGCTTCCCTCCCCCACCCCCTGCTCCCGGAGCCGGGCCGGGTCCAGCGCTCAGCCTTCTTCACTGCCTCCCGCAGGTCCCAGCAGGATGTCGGACACTGAGGAGCAGGACTATGAGGAGTGAGCTGTCTTCCGCTGGGCTCGGGGTGGACACGGGAGACCCTACAGCCCCTCGATGTCTAACTGTCCCCTCCTTTCTCTTGGGTCCCCAGGGAGCAGGCTGAAGGTGAGTGGTGAGGCAGCGTGAGGAGGACGTCCTCACATCTGGCGCCGGGCCAGGGTGGGAGGCCACTGGGTCGTGAGTCGAGCCCTGGTTCGGTCTCAGGACCCCCTTTTCCACCCCGGGTTCGCCCTTAGTCCCCGCCCCCTCTCCAACCCCTGTCCGTTCTATTGCACCTGGACCCGGACACCTGGTTCGGTCCCCGCCCCCGAGTCTCGCCCCGCCTCCAGCCCCGCCCCGTCTGGGTCCCGGTCCCGGCCCCGCCCCGCCCTGCCCGGTCTCGGGGTCCCTAGTCCCCCCGACTCGGCTTGCCTGGCCGGGTCCTGACGCCCCCAACCGCTCGCCCGCCCGCAGAGGAGGAGCCCGCCGAGGAGGAGGAAGGTGAGCCGCGGGCGGCGGGCGGCGGCGGGTCCCGGCGACGTGCTCTGACGCTGCCCCTCTCTCCGCCCGCCTGGCCGCCCGCTCCCCGCCCCGCTTCTTCCCCCAGCCCCCGAGGAGCCGGAGCCGGAGGCAGAGCGAGGTGATGACGGCGTTCGTCCCGGGAGCGACGGCGGCCCGGCCCGCCCCGTCCCCGCTGGCTCCGCGGCCCGCCCCGCCGGCCCTTTAGAGCCCCCTGGTGGCCGCAAAGGGAAACGGCCCTGAGAGTGGCCTTTTCCCTTCCTAAAGGGACCGACGCCCAAGCCTTCCCGCTCCCGCAAGGCTTGGGTGTGTGCGGGGCGCCTCCCCGTGCTCTCCGCCATATACATTCGAAGGTTGGGGACAACGGGGCGGCCGGGTCCCGGAGGGGGAGGACTAGGACTGGGCCGAGAAGGGCTGGCGTCCCTCGCCGATGGCTCTGGAGCAGGAGTTGAGCCATGTACACGGGAAAGGGACTGGGGGCCTGGACGCTGGGGTCCCCATACCGGTGCTGAATGTATATCTGATGCGTGTGAGCCGCCTCCTCCCGTCTGTGCCCCCGACTTCCCTATCCCCTTCTCCCCTGTCCTTCCCCAGAATTGCCTTTGGGGGTCCTTCCCTTGGTTGCTGGGGCTGGGGTCTGCACCCCCAGACTCTAATGATTTCTTTGCATCCCCTCACTGAAAGAAGAGGAGCGTCCCAAACCAAGGTGAGAGCCTGGGGTGGTAGGATCCCCACCCCAAGGCAAGATGCAGGAGCCAGCCCGGGGTGAAGTCAGGACACTGCCACCAGCACCCTCGCCTTAGGGGGCCTCCTGGGTCCCCCTGCAGGACTCATACATCCCACCCAGACAGCCAGGGTGCTGAGTCCCACAGCCCACGGGCGACAGCTAGTGGGAGTGGAAGTGCTGTTGGGGGCTGAGTGTGAGCAGGCAGGGACAGGACACAGTGAGGTCTGGGCTGCTGTGATGTGAGGTGCTGCTGGGGACAGGGCTAGGAGCCATAAGGAGACAGGCAGCAGCAAGGCACAGGGTGACGCTGGAGCCGAAGCTCCCGGGCATGCAGGTGCAAAGGCCTGGGGTTGTGAAAGCTAGGGGCACCACCAGTGGGGTGTGTGTGTGTGTGTGTGTGTGTGTTGGGGGAGGAGCTGGCAGGGCCAAATGGGGACGTTTTCCCCTTACTCATGGGCTGTACCTCCTATCCATGCAGCCGTCCAGTGGTTCCTCCCTTGATCCCCCCTAAGATCCCAGAAGGGGAGCGCGTGGACTTCGATGTAAGTAGTAGCAGCAGGCCGCAGGCCCTGGGGAGGCCCTGCCCACTGTCCTTCGGTAGCCAGCAGCCTCCTCCTGGCGCAGGGCCAGCACTGCCCTCCCTGTCTCCATCCCGCAGGACATCCACCGCAAGCGCATGGAGAAGGACCTCCTGGAGCTGCAGACGCTTATCGACGTGCACTTCGAGCAGCGCAAGAAGGAGGAGGAGGAGCTGGTGGCGCTGAAAGATCGCATTGTGAGCAGGCGTGCCCGATGCCCTTCCCTGTGCGCTGGGCTGTCCCCTTCCTGGGTCTTGGTGGTGCTAGCTACATCCCCAGCTCTTTTTATCCTTTAATTTGAGACAAGTCCTCTTGCCTCTGCCTCCTGCATGCTGGGATCGCAGGTGTGCGCCACCAGGCCCTGCTCAATCTGCCTTTCCGCCCACGTGGGAGAGGGCTGGCTGGCTGGCTGGGTGGGTGGTGGGTTCTGCCCCTCACTCTCCTGCCTCCCCAGGAGCGGCGCCGGGCCGAGAGGGCCGAGCAGCAGCGCTTCAGGACGGAGAAGGAGCGTGAGCGGCAGGCCAAGCTGGCGGTGGGTGCCGCCCCTGCCTGGGGGGGCTGGGCGGGATTCGTTCTTCAGATGCTGTTTTTCCTTTTCTGACATTTGCTGTGCTTCCGAGGATGCCCTGCTGCTGGAGGACTTAGGGATCCTTCTGCTGGAAGCGACGGAGACCCCAGGCATCAGCGCGGGGACTCGGTGGCCTCCTGTAGATAGGAAGTCGGGTGCTGGCTTCAGGCATGGCACGAAAGCTGCACGTTTCTCATATTTGGCCAGAGTTTCTGTGCATGAGAGGCTGACCAACTCCTGGTTTGCCTGGGGCATTACCAGGTTTAGGCCAGAAATTCCGGAGGTTAGTCAGGGGCTGGTCACCCTCCTCCCATGGCCATCGGTGCTACGGCCTGAACCCCCTTGGCGTTGTCCTTTGCGCAGACCTGGGCGAGCCAGACGGTGTGTAGGGAGCCCACTGGCTGCTCTGGGTGAGGCCTTGGGAGGCACGCCTGGCTTGGTATTCAGGAGAGTCCGCACTCCAGGAGGGGTGGCAGGCTGGCCCAGCCGTGGGCTGGGAGATGTCCACACCACAGTGCTGCCATTCGAGTGTGTAGCTCACATGGCGAAGGGGACTTTGCAGGTCCATTGAGTTCAGGGTGCCATGTGCGCGCGTGCGTGCGTGCGTGCGTGCGTGTGTGTGTGTGTATGTGTGACTGAGGATTGAACCAGGACCTTCACATTGAGCTACGTTCCCAGTCCCGTTTTAGTTTTTATTTTCAGACAGGGTCTCCCAAGGTCAGCAAGTTTGCCAGACTGGGCTCAAACCTGCCATCCTCCTGTCTCAGCCTCCTAAAGTACTAGTGCCACCAGGCCCAGCGATGGCCCTGCATCATATGGGTGGCCCGAAATTGTCACAGGGCCCTGGGGGGGGGGAGGCATGATGGCCAGAGCCAGAGAGATTTGAGGCCTGCGGATGGGGAAGGAAGCGCAAGCTGCCCTGCCTGCTTCTAGAGGCGGAAGGGCAGGGGCCTTCTCTGTGGTCCGGGGAGCCAAGCCACTCACACAGGTGTACGCCAGGAGTACCCTCTGGCCTGCAGAACTGTGAGGCGGTCAGTTCACACCCATAGCCCTGGTACTATAGGAGGCTGAGGCAGCTGGACTGCAGGTGGGACTCGGCCTGGGCAACTTAGCCACTTAGTGACACCCTGTCTCAAAATAAAAGAGGGCTGGGGATGCAGCTCAGTGCGAAGAGCCTGGATTCAATGCTCAGCACCATCACCAAAACAAGGAAATGGCCTTATCTTTGGCCACAAATGTGCAAATTATGCTAAAAGTCCTTAAAGTAATGGTGCTGGATGTCCAGGGCACTGTGCCCCCATTTCCCGCCCTCTCATGGGACCGGGTCCCCTGGGCCCCCCAGCTCCAGGACAAGGGCTGCATCAGCCTCCTTTGCCCCTTGCCCGCTGAATGCCTGCTCTAAGCCCTCGAGGATGCACCCTGGTTTCCCTGGCACAGGGAGCCTGAGGCTGGGAGCATCACATCTGCACGGAGGTACACAGCCAGCCCTCGCTGTGGGCATGGGGACAGGAGGAGTGGTCACCCAGACCCCACCATCCCCTGCTTCGCTTGCTAGGCCTCTGGGGCCACGCTGGAGGCACAGGGCTGAGCCTGTGTCCCCGCAGGAGGAGAAGATGCGGAAGGAGGAGGAGGAGGCCAAGAAGCGCGCGGAGGATGACGCCAAGAAAAAGAAGGTGCTGTCCAACATGGGGGCGCATTTTGGAGGCTACCTGGTCAAGGTGAGTCCTGCCTGGGAAGCGTGTGGTCTGCTCCAAGGCAGGGGTAGGGAGGGCCTGGAGTCTGGGCTCTGGGTGGAGGAGGCCGCCCGACCCTGGGTAGGCGTGGGGAGGACAGGTGCAGACTGTCTCGGGTGCCACCCCGGTCGCACGCCTGGGTGCCCGTGGGTGCCTGGAGGCTCAGTCCCTGCTCGCGCCCCTCACCTAAGGCAGAGCAGAAGCGCGGGAAGCGGCAGACCGGGCGGGAGATGAAGCAGCGGATCCTGTCGGAGCGGAAGAAGCCCCTGAACATCGACCACATGGGCGAGGAGCAGCTCAGGTCAGTGACCTGCCTGGGGTGGTCCTGGCAGCTAGGACAAGGAGCCGAGGGTCCTCTCTGAGCCCCAGTGGGTGACCAGTGTGTGCTGTGCCCCTCTGGGCCCCGCAGGCCCGGCGAGCTGGTCACTGGTGACGCAGCTGCGGCTCCCAAGTGCAGAGGATTCTGTTCCTGAGGAGCCGCCCGCTGCCCTCTGCACATCTTGCCTTTTGTCTGGGTTAGACCAGCCGTCTCCTCTGCCCCTGAGAACCAGTTCAGGCCAGCAGAGGTCTCTCCTCCCGGCCACACTGTGCACTTTGGGGCTGGCGGCGCACTGTGTGGTCTCAGCTTCTGGGAGGCTGAGGCAGCAGGATCTCAAGTTCCAGCCCAGCCTGTGCAATTGTCATAAAAAAAAAAAATGCTGAAAGTTGGGGTTGTAGCTCAGTGCCGAGGTCCAGCGTTCAGGCCCTCCTCTCATCCCCGGAAAGAAAGAACAGCAGCATGTGGAGGAGGCCGAAGTGCAGGCCCCCTCACTGCCCCGACCTGGCAGGGAGAAGGCCCAGGAGCTGTCCGACTGGATCCACCAGCTGGAGTCTGAGAAGTTCGACCTGATGGCGAAGCTGAAGCAGCAGAAATACGAGGTGGGCGTCACTTCTGTGGGGCACTGCCAGTGGGGGGGCCAGGGGGGCCCTGTCCCCCAGGGCCATCCCAGCCTGTGCCTCTGTCCCCAGATCAATGTGCTGTACAACCGCATCAGCCACGCCCAGAAATTGTAAGTGTGCCTTGGAGCGGCGGCCCTGTCCCCTTTTCTTCTGTCCCTGAAATCCCTCGTTCTGTGGTAGCCCATGGAGATCTTGGTCCCTGGAGGACACTTGGCACTGCTGGGACAATTTGCTTGTCGCAGCTGAAGCAGAGGTGCTGGAGTCTAGCAGTGGGACCTCCTGGGGGCCAAATGCTGGTCCTTCCACATGGAGCTTCTCCGGACCGCAGTGCCCTGCCCTCGGTTCCGCTGGCCCTCTTGCACAATGGCCCACACGTTGGGTCCCCTGACACTGATGTCCCCCAACTCATCCTCATGACACGTTTTAGTCCCATGTGAGCCTGCCATGTGGCCAGCAGCCCCCGGCCTGTCCCTCCGCCTGGCAGGGCCACCTGCAGGCCTTTGCCTCCTCTCCTGGGGGTGAGAGAGGACTCTTTATGGGGCCAGAGGCCTGGGGTCTGCCTGACCCTCCTGACACCCCATCCTCCCCCAGCCGGAAAGGCGCAGGAAAGGGCCGCGTCGGAGGCCGCTGGAAGTGAGGAAGTCAGGATGCGACCCCCTGGGGCCCCGGGAGCTGTCAGAGAGTTCGTCTCATCTGTGACTTGAAATAAATGGCCCCCTACGGCCCCTGCTGGGTGCTTGACTTTGTTATTAACACGCGGCTGGCCACTCACTGCTGGTTCACGGTCATAGTGGCTATGGCTTGGGAGAGTCCTGAACAGTCATGAAAATGAAGCCAGGCGTGGTGACGGTGGCGCACACTCCTGTAACCCACGCGCAGGAGAGGCCACGCCAGGAGGATCACTGCGAATTCAAGGCCAGCCTGGCCTACAGAATGCGACCCTGTCTCAGATAGGCAAAACCAAACCAAAACCAAACCAAATGCCCGGGTGAGCCCTCACACCGCTGGGGGAACAGCACGTGGGACGCGGTGTGGTTTGTCCAGAGGGGAGGTGGAGCTCAGCACGCGCCCAGCAGGTCCTCTGCTTGGCAGTGCCATGAGAACCGAAAGCAGGGACACATGCCAGCCTGCCCTGCCCTGCCCCGCGCTGTTCACACAGCAGTGCTCTGCCCGAAGGTAGAGCCAGCCCGAGTGCCCATGGTGGATGAAGGAGCGGGAAGACAACTTGGTCCGCCTGCCAAATTCACACACGCTCAGGGGACTCAGTCCCATCGTGGTCACCCCACCCTGCCCGGTTGCAAGGGTAGCTGCGCAGCATCCTTGGTGGCCTGTTGAACCTTGCTTACAACCGGGGGTGCCAGCTGCGTGTGCTGGTGCATCCCAGGAATCCCAGCACTCACGGAGGCTGAGGTCAGAGGACTGCGAGTTGGAGCCCAGCCTGCGCAAATTAGGGCCTGGGCGAGACCCTGCTCAATTCCAAGGACTGGGCTATAGCTCAGGCAGAGACCCCGGTCTCACGGGCTTCCTCTTGTTTCACAGGAGACTCAGTCCTTGCCTTGGTCTGGGGTTAGCTGGTGCTTCTCCATCTCCGATAAAGCTGGGGCTCAGTTCCTGAGGGAGGAGGCAGCAGTCAGGGGCCTGGAGGCGGCACTCTGCAACCCATCACGCCGTAACCTGGCACGCGGTAGCCAGGCCCTGCACGCCGGACTCACCACCCGCCCCCAGGACAGTTGCCCTGTGTCCTTGGGGGCCAGGGCAGACCTGTTATGCGTAACACAGCTTGGCTATGTCTCTGAGTGGTCTGCTGCCCTGCACTCATACCAAAATTAAGACAACTCCTCACTGTGCCCTAAAGAGATGGGGAAAGTGTAATAATAGTTATACAAACCAGATATGGTGGTACACACCCGTCATCTCAGTGCTTGGAAGGCTGAGGCAGGAGGATTGGTGTGAGTTGGAGGCCAGCCTGGGCTACATAGTGAGTTCAAGGCCAGCCTGAACTACAAAGTTAGACCCTGTCTCAAAAAACAAACGCTTGGGGGGCTGGTGAGATGGCTCAGTGGTCTAAAGCACCTACTTAGAGCAAGCTTGGCAGAGTACAGGGACCGCGGTTCAATCCCCCAGCACCACGTGCCAGCCAGCCCCGCCCCCTGGTGGGCTGAGCTGGCCACGCACACACAAATAAATAAATAAAAATTAAAAACAAAACAAAACAAAACAAAAAACCAAACGCTTGGCTAATCTTTGTGCCTCAGCCTCCCGAGTGCTGAGATGACAGGTGTGCACCCCTAGTCCCAGGTAGGAAAACATGGTTGAGATGCAGTTCCTTTTCTGTAATTCTGGTGGCTGTGACTCTGCCTCTGGCTTCTTTCCGTTCCTGTTTTGGGAGGTGACGGTTAGGACGGTGCAATTCTTAGGCAGCCTAATTGTGTCAAAGCTTCCTTCCTGTCCATGCGTCCGGGCCCAGTTTTAGCGTCCTGACAACTACAGGCAGCCCAGCTGTGGCGTGCCTAAAAATAGAATTCCCTCCTAAATTTAAACTGTTCCTTTGCCCAAGGAACTCTTCTGGGGATGGTTGTAAAGTCACAGATTGGGACCTCCTGATCCTACTCTCAGCTGTGTATGCACAGACAGGAGCTGCTCCCAGTTGGCCGGCTCCCAGCCTTGCAATGCTGTCAGTGACCTTTCTGGGGCCTCGGGGAAGAGGGAACACTGTCTTAGCTCTCTGAGGTTATTTCACCAGCAGGGAAGAGGTGCCCAGTGCCTGGGCAAAGTCCTGTAACTCTGCTGCTAGAGTGGAGAAGAAAGAGCAGGCCAAAGAAGCTAGCAGACCTGCACCATCAGAAAGAGGACGGGAGGGGCACGTGCAGGCACCCAGACACAGCTGTAGAGTCCCCGTGTCTCTGACAGTTCATCTATACTATCTCTACAAGTCCAGGGACAGAGACCAGCCTCTGGTTGCAGAGCTAGGAAGTGGCAGAGACAAAGATTCTGACCCAAGGTTGGCAACTACAAACAGGAATTTCTTAAATCTTTTTTTTTTTTTTTTTTTAATTTTATTTATTTGTGTGTGGGGGTGGCCAGCTCAGCCCACTAGGGGGCGGGGCTGGCTGGCATGTGGTGCTGGGGGATTGAACCGTGGTCCCTCTGCTTTGCTAAGCTTGTTCTGAGTAGGTGCTTTAGACCACTGAGCCATCTCACCAGCCCAAACAGGAATTTCTAACCTAGAATAGTTAGTAGTGGAATAGGACTCTAAAAATAGTAGGCAAGTTGCATTGGTGGTGTATTCCTGTAATCCCAGCACATGGAAGGCTGAGGCAGGACTGCTGCAAATCAGAGGCCGGCCTAGGCGACATAGTGAGACCCTGTCTGGAAAAAAAAAAAAAAAAAAAAAAAAAGTCAAAGCCTTAACGTAGAGGTCAAACTAAAGATTTTTTTTTTTTTCCAGAACCAGGGATTGAACTCAGGCCCTTGTGCTTACCAGGCAAGCGCTTATTCTACTGAGCCATCTCCCCGGCCCAAGATTGTTAATAGTTATGGCCAGGGCTCACCACAGATCAAAGGGTGGGCTGGGTAAACCAAATAGCTTGTTTCCTGCAAGTAATCATAGTCATGAAAACAGGCATTCATAAACACAGCCACAGACAGGACTGTAAATACACGTGTCCCAATTATTCTGGGGCATAGGCCATACATGATGGTGCTCCACACAGTGACACACTTGAGAACTGGGAAGGCACATGGTGTGCACCTGTGGAAAGGGTGGGTTGAGGGGCCACACAAGCCAAGAGCCACAGGAGCCTTTGTGACTATGGCCAGCCCTCCCTGGCTTCATCGGATTTGTAATTTATTTCTTGAACGAGCCAAAGGACTTCAGAGCGGAGGGGCTGCTCCAGTATTTTATTTTATTTTTTTTAAACTTTTTGGCTTTCATCCAGATTCTGGACACTTTGTGATTTTTATGGGTCTCTGTTCCTATCCCAAAGTGTCTTTATCCTTCCCATTTTGGGTTTAGGTACAGAAACACTTAAAGTCAGGGTCAATGTGTGCTTATCTCCTGGGTCTACTACAAGAACTTGACCTTCCAAACCTCCTGGAGAACCTTGGCCTGCGCTCCCAATCCCAGCGAGTCATGAGACTGTGCTACTGCCTGGACTACACCTCCCAGTGTGCTCCACGGCCCGGGGTGGTCCAGCAGGAGACTGTTACTGAGGACCCAGTCTCTTAGATTCCTTGCCCCATCGTGACCCAAAGAGTACCATTAGGGACTTGCGGCTTCTCTTGCCCTGGAGCGTAATTTCCTGAGGTGCTCTGGACCCTGCTCATGATGAGCCAGGCCTTTGGGGTGCAGCCCCGAGGACTACATTTCCGAGGGTGCGCCCGGTTGTTGGCAGGATACCCTCATCTTTGCTCCCCAGCTGTATTTCCCAGCATGCTCTGGGCGGTCACCAGGAAAGGTTGGGAGTAGGACTCACTTTCCCACGGGGCCTTGGTTTTTCCCACGACCTAGGGAGTCCATTTAGTCATTCATTCAAAGTATTTTCCATCTTATCCTTAAGCTCAGCCCGAGACATAGACTAGGTAGTATACGTAGAGGACCGAAGCCCCTGCCCTCATGGAGTTTATTTCTAGTTGAAGGAGGCAGCGCCTGCCTGGCAAGCGCAGGGTCCTGAGTTCAATCCCCGGTAACGCAGAAAAAAAAAAAAAGGAGGCAGACTAAAAAAAAATAGCCTATGGAACAGTGTACCTTTTCGGACTCCTCCCGTGAGGAGGAGTCAGGCCTAGTGCTGGCGGTGGTGGCGGTAGCGTTCTGACCCGGTCCCAGCCCTTTAAATGGGGCACTACATTTCCCAGCATGCTCCGGGGCTCCTATTCGGCCACTAATGCCACTAGGATCCATTTCCTAGAGTTCCCCCCGGGGCGTCCCCTCAACCAGGCCGTTTCCAATGGACGACCTGGGAGTCTCAGACTTTCCAGGGTGCCTTGGGGGACCGCGCCTTTAGTAACTTCCGCTGATAGACTCCATTTCCCAGCACTCTCCGCGGCTGGCCGCTTGGGGCGCCCCATCCTGTAAGCGGTGAGGTTCTCCGCGCTGCTGACTCCATTTCCCAGCATGCACGGTGGCGGAGGCGTGACGTCACACACGGGGCGGGGACCGGGAGCTCCGTGGGCGGAGCGGAGCAAAAGGCAGTTCCCGGCGGCCCCCGGGGCGGGCGGGTGGCGGCGGCGGTTGTGCTCGCTCGCTCGCTGGGCGAGCGGGCGGCGCGATGTCGGGGGAGGACGGCCCGGCGGGAGG